AGTGTGTAGATATTAGAGCTTAAACCTCTGATTAAAGAATGTAGGCAAGCTTAAAATGTGTAGCTTATCTGTGCACATGCTTTGTCTTTGCATGCAAATGTTATATGTGCCATTGGAAAGATATCATCATCATGATATCATCTGAATCCATGTCTGTAAAGCACACATACAAACATGCAGTCTTGGTCGGATGGATTTGCATCTGCTCATGTGTGAGATGACATCTACCAGCACAGACCCGTGCGCTTCTGCATCCATGTGACACTCGGATAAAACTGTGCCCTTTATTCAGAGTGTACTGTATATGCATTTGAAGATAAAGCCTCTTGACAGGCACATATATATACTTATACATGAAGATTATTTATTAGGACACTCTCATGACTCATTGTGCTCCAGTAGTATACAGCTGACCTTTAACCTTTAATCTTAAGGAACCTTTGGCTCTAATCTCTTCATGTTAACAAGATGATCGATGGAAACAGGATGTGTTTTTAACTTTAAGTCAAACTCCAAAAGCTCTGTTTTCTGATGCTCACATTGAATTAAAACTTTAATTAAGAGGTCATGTTTACTGATATCACTGATTAGCATATATTGTATAATTATAGATTATACAGATGATAAAAGGAGCCGTAGTGGTTATGTATTTATGAAGGTCAGCTTCTTTAATCCTCATTAATCGTTAATCCTCATCATTTTTGATCTGTTGTTGTGTAGGATATGTGTAGATGTGTGGATGCACAGTGATAATGAGATACTGAAGTTGTGAGCATGAAGAAAAAAGTGTGATGTCGTCTGGCAAAAGTGGGGCCTTACTCAAGGACTAGATGAGTACATACAACAGTTTCTTTAAAAAAAATGTGAGTATGAATCAGGCCTCGAGGAAGTGTGCCAGTCTTGAAGCCAAATAAGACTTTTCCCCATTGACTTACATGGTTTAAGAGACGTCTGTTCAGTAGGGATTGCTTTGTTTTTTTAGCATCGCAACCCCCGTGAATTGACTCTCTTTTCTACTGGTATTTAATCCACGTGGCCCAATAATATTTGGAAAGTCTATTAGTCACAGCTAAACTCGAAGTAGCCACCTCAGTTGTTGGCAGTCCAACCCGGTCGCACCCAGCCGTCAAAATCCAGCACTTGTCTAGTGACTTCCGGCGTCAGACACTGACAAAAAAAGCCATCCTTTCATGTAGGCATGATACGCAGCCAGTCGCCATTATTGTTTAACTGTGCATGGCGGCAGCAGCAAGAAATGTGGCAGGACAACAACGAAAGTTAAGGAGGTGGAAGTCCAAGCAGGGCAGGAGGGAGGGTGGTGGATGGGTCACGCAAACACCAAATTTCATTCAGGAGGCCGATGTTCACTTCCCGTAAGATTGTACAGCCAGACACTGTTATTTTTTTTCTTAATACAGCCCCGTGCCTGTTGGCAAAACGTAACCATGTGTGTTTTTTGTTAAAGTCCTCTGCCGATGGTGTATTCAGGTTTCTTTATACTTCCATGGTGTGAATCCTTTGCTACAGACTGAGCCTGTCACTTTAAGAGAGTTGCACTGTGGGATGTTTGTAGCCTGTTGCGAGGCTAGCTAGTTTCTGTTTGTCTAAATGTCAGGAGGAGTTGTTTTAAAGATTTCTTGGCCCTAAAAGTGTCACTTAAGTCCAGTTTTTGCAAGTTTTCTTGTGCGGAAACGTTATCTTTGCATTCTTTTTTTATCACCTAAAGCCAATAAGAGCATTAATATAGCAGGAAGTGTGTATCCCACCAGCTAGCTAATTGCGCCTGCTTTGCACCGTGCTCATATGGTGATTACTGCTAATATCAAGACGGTATTGTCCCAGAAGTGTAGTGTCCACCCTCTGGTTCCCCCTGGTTAACACTGTTAGCTCTGGTAGCGCTGTTGTCAGTACTGTTGTTAGCAGTGTTAGCTGATAGCGGCTAACTTAGCCACCTCCATGTCGAGAACCATATCCACACAACTCATACGCTCTGAATTTCAGCCACTGTAAGAGTTTCCTTGAGGTCTAGTGAAGGTGCAGAAGGCATTTTTGTTCCCATGAAACATTTGTAACGTCATTCATGTATGCTAGCTAGCGGTCTTCTTTTCCCGTGACCTTCAGCTGGTGCACTGCTGTGTTTCAAAGCACAGGAATTGCTTAACACGGTTGGCAACAGTGCGTACTGCATCCCCTTGTACTTGTGAGCATGCCCAACATACAAATAAAACAGGAACACTGCAAGAGAAAAGGCTTCAAGGTAAATAGCAGTGGTTTTGTGGGTAAAATGAGCTAAAGAGCACCATTTCTTATCTCTTGAGATGGCTAAGTGATAAAGACAAAGTAATCGTCTGATATGTCAAGATAACAGGCCTAACAATATTATTAGTAACTTTGACTGTGCTCAGTTTCTGTTTGAAGACTGAGCTAACTTTCTATGGAAGCTAGCAGTCTGTCGTCATGGCTGTAAATAATAATTCATCATTATAACAGTTGACTCAATAACAGTCAAGTGTGTGTGCGTGTGGTTGCGTTAAGCATCTTGACCATTTGCCATCTGTTGGATCGTAATCCATGATGTCATATAAGTCAATGTTTACATGATTGCATGTTTGTTTGGTCTTGTGGGTCTACGTGTGTGTGTGTGTGTGTGTGTGTGTGTGTGTGTGTGCGTGAATGTGTGAGAGAGAGAGACAATGAGTACTGTGTAAGAAGATTATGCGGGCTGACTTCATATTATTAACAAGACCAGAGAGAAATAATGAAAGAACAAACATCTTTATTTATGTGACATTTTCAGCTAGGGTGAATTAGTTTGTCCCTCGTTGCTCATTTTATTACAGAAAATGAATGTATTTATGCTGCATAACTCAAAATGTCCTCTCTGTTGTCTGACGCTATGAGCTCTGCCCTTTGTGTTGTTATTTATAGTGTAGCTAATGTGGGTAGGCTATTTTGTTCATTCCTCTGTTGGATCTGTGCAGAGGTGTCCCAGCTTTAAATGTCCACGTGATGAAGTGGTTGTGACAGCTGCCGATATGACTGAGGCATAATGGGTTTTGTTATTAGGGGGGTAAATCTGCAGGTCATGGTCCTCCTCGGTCTGCTCGTGACCTCTCTGTCAGGCCGACCTTCACTGTGCATCCCGCCTGCACGGCCATGGACATTTACATTGACTCAGCGATCAAGCTTTCTATCATTGTTTTAGTTTAATTCCGCAGAAGGGAAATGAAGCATGAAGATAGATCGTCTCCATTTTAGGAATGTGTTCAGAAATGTGAACAGCCAGTTGGAGGAATATCAGTCTGTGTTCTCCAAAACTCAGGTGCTTCTCTAAAATTGTTTCAGTTGAGATAGATCATAAGTTAAAATCAAGTAGTTATATGAACAAATACATGAAACCTCCCTGATTCTTTGTGTTTTATGAAAACTAACAGAATTACAAACTCTTCCCCTTTAAGCTTTGGTTTTTCTTACTCTTCACCTGATGGTAACATGACCCCCACCTTGTATCTCACAGCATTTACTGACAAATACAACAGCCAGTGCTCATTCCCAAGTTGTTAAATACCACTGATTTGTCAGTGATTTTGATTTCAGACCAAAAAGGGCACCTTTTACGTTGGTGTGATATGCCCCTGGATGGCTTCATGTTGAAAAGCTGCTGGTTTCAAACTGACAAACAAACACAATAGTGTTGTGTCGTTCGCGAACGAATCGTTCAAAAGAACGAAGCTGTTGAGTGAACGTACTAAACTGAATCACTTCCAGAACTGATTCGTTCATTTCTCAGTTCAGTTGAGCTCAGCAGCGAGCGTGCAGGCCAGGAGTGAAAATGCTGATTTGGTCAGTGCGAACAATGAATCACTTGCGAGTCGTGAGGCAGCCAGGATGCAGGAAGGGACTGCCTACCGTGTGACGAATCACTCGGTGAACGACATAACCCCTATCCCTGAGTGATTCAAATCATTTCTTCTCAACGATACACTTTCATAGGGACCGTTTACTCCAAGCTAACAGCTAATGTGGCCAGGAGTCAAGCCACATGAACACAATCACACACCTCCCCATGGTTTTAACAGACTTAGTTTCCAGATAAACAAACTTAAAACATTAGGCTGGCCAGTAATGAGACTCACCAGTGCAGGGCAGAGACTGAGTTGGACTATGCAGTACACAGTCAGGGCTCCTCCCGCCAAGCACTGAAAGATACAGTGAACAAATCTTTTGAACGAATCTTCTTAATGAACTGATTCTAGTGATTCAGTAACATCTAAAGAACTGCTTTGCCCATCGCTAAAACACAAGACTTTCACCTAGGAGACTGCTGTCTCTGTCCCCGATGAAGTTATTTTAACTATGCAAATGTCACATGACAGACGTTACTTTGCATTAGTAACAAACTTATTTTAACCCAAACCATGATCTTTTTTCTGAACCTAACCAAGCACTTCTGGTGCCTAAACCTAAAAATTGAGTAAACCTACATTGTTTTAAGTTTATTTTGAAAAGAGACTTTATGCATGTGGGGAAACAGAAACTAAATTAACTGTGAAAAGGGAAGCCTATTTTGAAAGGATACATAAATGCTTTGAGTGAAAACTAAGGGACTAGCTGTCCCTGAGTGTCCAAACGTGACAGTATGGGCGTAAAGCCTCATACTTTGAGTTATAGGAGCACTTACCGATGTGTTGGCAAAGGCAGTTTTGAAAGGCAGTCCATTGTAAATAAATTTAATGTCAGTCAGCTCTGTGTTAAATCAAAGATCAATGCCATCTAAGTTTGGTGCAGCGTGTTTAAGTGCCAGTCAATTGGCAGTAAACTTCAAATGTCAAAGAAAATTGTTGCATTTGCATAATTCTGATTTGGTTTAATATGTTTATGTTAATGTAATCTACGGAGTCCGCTGACTGCACGGATTGTTTTATATGTGTAATTAAAAATTCAGCTTATAATAATATACATGATTATGTCAATTTGTTAATTGTGTCTCCTGTCTGCAGGGACTCTCTGCATTTATGGTTACATGAATGTCAGCGCTGCAGGCCAGATGCCGGTGATGGAGGAGCTTGTCAGTGAGAGGTAAGAACTAATCAGCTTTTATGTAGCGTAATCACTGTCTTTTTTTGACTGAACACTTCCTGACAATGGTCTCATTGTTTGATATACAACACTTAAAGTTTTAAAAGTTTCTCAACTCAAATGCAAGCTTATAACACTTAGTTTTTTGTTATAAGTTGCGGCTCTGGGTGTTGCAGTTCTTGCTCAAATTTGCTCTGAACGTTTTTTTTCTTGTTTCTTCTTTCATCGTCTTCTTGTGCATTCTCAAAGTTTTTAGTTTTTATTAGGCAGGTACTGTTGATGTAAAATGCCAACAACACTCCTGAACACCATCAAGGCTTAAGGAGCTTTCACACTGCTGCATAGTAACTTGCCACTTCCATTCATTTTAATGAGCAGAAGGCAACAGAGGAGAAGTAGCTTCCAACACGCTGGTAAGGGTATGAAGTTGTTGATATCTACATGAATAAGCACAGATATCCCCACCGCGCTGAGTTCACAATGTTGAAACTCTGGCGTTTCCAATTGATAAGCCGGTATCACGGAAGCACAAAGAAGACAAAATGGAGAAAGTCTGAATACCCGGAGATATGGCACCAGCAACTTATGAGGACAACCAGAAGAGAAACTGGTACTGCGATAAAGTTTCCACCAAACTTCACATGACTGGTAAACTGTCCACGTGTAGAAATCTTTGGTAGTTTCAGTTATTCTTGCTTCAGCATGCAGCTACAAGCTAGCTTGCACTTCTTTTAGTGTTCAACAAAGCACCTGCCTGGCATTGCAACCAGGCACCGTGGCGGCAGCAGCAACTTTTAAAAACACTTTGCTTTATTGGGGGAAGGCTCTTGCAGGTAGGCAGTTGTCGGGGTGTTGTGAAAACAGCTTAGTGAGAAGTGTGAAAGCTTAAAACGTCTGTAACCTTAGAATACTAAGGCACAAAACTTCATTGTCAAGTGTTGACAAGTGTCTATTAACCATGGATGTGTGACATTTGTAGCTTACATGTAGCAGATATGTTAAAACTTTATATTTATCTGTTTCAACAATATTTAGGCACAAAAAAACAGTTGGTCACGGATAGAAAAGGATATTGTTTTGGCTTAAAGCATCCAGTTTGGGGGACATAATCCCAACCTGACACACAGCAATGACTCACTAAATCACAAACAGTTTTGATGTTCTGAAACGGGTGTCTGCAGCTAGGCAGGCGTTTCATCAGCTCATTTAGAACTTGTCAAATAACGCCACTTGTTCAGTAATTTCGGCATCAGATACAGATGCCAAAAGCCACCAGGCAGCATCTGTATGTAGCAGTACGATACACGGACTGGTGGCGTCAGGTAATAACAGCCAGACAGCACCTGTCACGGTAGTATGATGTCACATTTGACAGCGTCAGTTTGAATTACTGCAACGTAATGTAGGGAGCTGGATAGTCCCAAAAGGGCGGACAGAAGGGGCAGTTGATGGATTGAAAAAAAATCCCACCTGACTTTCACCCCAAAGTGCTTTTAAAATGGCACAATGTATTTAACAGGCGTAAAGTGATAGGCTGACTTGAAATGTCAACAACAAACACAGGAGGATACCTAGCATGTGATGTGTAGACGTGAATGACACTGACAAAGTCACGCCAGGTGTCACGCCATCCACCTTCAGTTGACAAAGGCAGCTCATATACTACGACACTTTAGAAACATTGATATGAAACATATGCACAATGTCAACATTTTCTTTTGGTGACTGTTCTGCAGTTTGACACTCGAGTCTTACCTGACGAAGGTGCACTCACCAAATTTGACTGAAGCAAGCAGCCTGTGTGCAGCCCAAGAGATGTTAGAGAATGATAAAATGAAATGCATTTGTTTGGTGAAAGCAACACTTATTCAAATTGCCCCCGGCCTGCAGGAGTTGTGTGTGCATGTGGATTGTTCGTGTATTCATCCACACAAACTGCCTGTTCTAAGAAAAAAGAAACAGCAGACGAATAAGCAGAGATGGCTGCCGCATTTGTATTAAACCGTTCTCAGAGGTCTGCAGATCAGAAATGAATTGACTGCCCTGATTCCTTCTTCAAGGGCATTCTCATCTTCAGATTTTTGGCTCAGCTGAGGAAACAATAGGCAGTGTGGGATTTCTGCAGCAGCGCTCGCTGCCTCTGTAGTTATCTCGCCCTCAGGCTTGTTGGTTTGATTGAAACGGGGATCCTGCTGAAAGTGTTGGGTGGTCTGTTTTCACTGCTTTGGAATGTAAAGAGTCGTTTTATAGCTTCCCCCGCCTGGCTAATGTCCTTTAGCCCTGAGGCTGAGACTGAGATTTGAGTTTTTTCTTAAATCATCACTGTGAAGGCGCAGTCGGACCACCTTCTTCCCTGACTGCTAGCTTTGACTAACAGACCCACGGACTGATAAGAGAAGAGAAAACGATGCATAGTATAAAAGAGGCACAGAATAAATGCAGAGGTACTGAAAGACTGCAAAGGTAGGTTAACTACAGTCAGAGGAGACAGGTTGTCTCTGTTGTATTTTTACACTAGTTATCTTCACTAAGAAAAATCTTACTATTGTGGACATTTCACTCTTCCTCACTTTCTGTCAGAAGCTAATCTAAACTTGTTTGATTATTTATTTGTTTTCTTTGTTCCCTTGGCAACAGCCATCCTCTGTAAAGCAGCTACAGTATGGAAGAGATAAGAGCTGGAGCCCAGTAGGAGAGCACAAAGGCATCCCTCCACATTTAAACAGCTATTTTATTTTTAATGGGTCTTTGAGTGTGCAAACATCTCAGTAGATTTATGAATTTACTGTCAGTCTGGTTAATGTCACCATCAATCAGTGAGCTGTGTCTCAGTGAGCCTGTTCTGATGGAAATTTTGCAATTAAACGTAATTAAATGTCTGTTATTCTTAGCATAATCTCTCAAGACAGATTCTGCAATTTACATTGTAGAATCTGTCGGCAGCCCTGTGTGAAAGACAACTAGGGGAGGGGGAGGGCGGGGCTTTGAGTTTGAACGATGCTGCGCTTTAGCCAATCACAATGAAGGGGGCGTGGCCGAGACGTGCAGGTGTCCCCAGGAAATGTGTACCTACAGAAACAGCAAGCTCCACGTCCATGACGACCGCTCCACCCAAAACGCCGTCTTGTCAACATGAAAAAAAATATTTTTTCCAGCAGATGTCTTAGTTGCAACATGATTGAGCTAACTGGAGTAGTTTCATGTCGTATCCGACAACGGGAGGAGATGACGTCCTGATGTTAGCTTTGCTGCTGCTACTAGCTGTCCCTGTCAGCTGCAGCCACTGATGCTTTCTAGACATCGTGATTTCCCAAAACTGAATAAATACCACACATAGCAACACAAAACTGCTTTGCTAGCTCAATCATGTTGTTGTAAAAAATATTTTATTCATGGAGCATTTTTATACAGTCTGTGGTTATTACAGACACCGCTAACGGCTAACGTTAACAGCTAACGGTTAGCCCAGCTAATCTATGATAACCATGTTATTAATTACAAAATGTGCACACATTAATAGTAACGTTTGTTCAGTCATTGTGTTTATAGACTTAACAAACATCATATTAGTCTACACGGTGATATAGTGACGTGAAAAATGTGATATATAGCTAAACTCTGCTGGTTTTCTACCCGAAATATTTGTAAACAACACAGCGATTTCCCTGGGGGCACTGCCGGAAGTGAAGGGCGTGAGCGATCGCCGAGGCCCCTGCACTTCCGTTAGTCGAAAAACTCCGGGCTGTGCCTCCAGAGGAAAAGGAAGAAAAAAAGAATTGTATTATTTTTTTATTTTTTTTTTTTTTTTTTACCGATGGATTTCCAGATTGTTCTTAGGATAACAGAAACATAAATAAATTGTGGACCAGGTGGATTTAAACCATGGTTATTTCTTACATTAAACAAAGTTAAACCGTGATCAGAATTTTATTTTGCTACTTTTCCCTTTGTGTCAGGAAACTCCTTGCCAAATTTCAGACTTATATGACTATTCATGCCATCGTAGTGCCCTAATATTTGAGTTTACATCATTTCGCCAGAGACATGTCCCACAAAATAGGTCTTGGGCCCCTAACAGGTCTCAGGGGGCCCAAGTTACTAATTTGTGATAGCTGAATGTATAAGCGAACAGGAAATGATAATGTTGTGGGTACGAATTTATCTCTACAATCACACCTAAACCTAAAATCTGGAACAACCAAAAGATATTTACATGTATACATACATATATATAACATTAAATACTCATACCGTTCCTTTGGTTAAAATTAATGTGAAAGCATGAGGTCTTAACTAGAGTAGAAAGACAAGTCTGTTTCTGAGATGATAGGGTTACACTGCATGACCCAGTTTGCTGTTGGGATGTTATGGATGGTCTCCATGTCGAGTTGATGGCAGTAATGTGAAGCCTCCAGCTGCCTTGAGAGAAACCAAATGGCTCCAGCCAAGAGGTTTGATTGATGACTCAGTCTCACACCGGCCCCCACAGCACGCTACAAACATACATCCTAACATCACAAATGTTAAATGCAACACGTTCTCACCCACTGAATAGTTCGTTTGCCAATGATGCTCAGAACGTCATACATGGAGAATACCAGCAACAGGCGCACATAGACACGTTGTAAAACATTCACAGTTTTAAACACATGGATAATATTGTGATACCGGTGTAGTTTGGTTAAGGTGACAGAAGTACTTGATTAGGTTTAGGAAAAGATCACAGTCTGAGTTAGGCCCCAATCGCTCAAAAGGCATTTTGCAGTTTGTAAAACACGAGCCTTTTTTGTTTGTTTAAATTGAATGCCACTGGTAGAAAAAGGCTTGCTGTGCGTTTTTATTGTTGCCAGGCAACCACACCATCAACTCTTTACCCTAACCTTCCCATGTAATCAATCTACAGTTTTTTTCTGTCTTTCTTTTTTAAAGTTTATTTATGTCACAGTAATCAGTGTGTAGTTCCTGACATGTTGAGGCAGAGGGTACTGTCTGTAGCTCTG